CCCCCAGCCCCCCCCCTCACGGAGGCAGCGGCGCCCGTCGGGGCTGGGGGCGAGGCCGGGGGGGCAGCGGCAGCTGAAGGAGCCCTCGAGGTTGGTGCAGGTGCCGGGGGGGGGGCAGAGGCAGCGGCGCCCGTCGGGGCTGGGGGCGAGGCCGGGGGGGCAGCGGCAGCTGAAGGAGCCCTCGAGGTTGGTGCAGGTGCCGGGGGGGGGGCACAGCCCCGGCTCCAGCGCGCACTCGTCGATGTCTGGGGAGGGGGATTTGAGACCCCCCAGGGATCCCCAAAAACCCCCCCGGGACTCCCAAAGACCCCCCAGGGACCTCCCAGGGACCCCCGCCCCGGGATCCCCCTCGCACGGTGGGGAGGGGTCTCCACAGCCCCGGGTCCGGCACGCTCGTCAGTGTCTGGGGAGGGGGATTTGAGACCCCCCAGGGACCGTCCCGGGGGTGCTGACCGAGGCAGGCGCCGTTGAGGCCACGGAAGCCGGGGGGGCAGGGGGTGCACACGAAGCCCCCCGGTTGGTTCTCGCACTTGGAGTCGGGGCACGTCCCCGCGTCCAGGCACTCGTTGATGTCTGGGGAGGGTGGCAGGGGGACACTGGGGACATCGGGGACATTGGGGACATCGGGGACATTGGGGACATCGGGGACATCGCGGGGGAGACCCCGCAGCCTCCCCTAGTGCGGGCTGGCCCCTCCAAGGCGCCCTGTCCCCGTCCCCGGTGGCTTCGTGTCACCTCCCCGTGTCACCACCCCGGTGTCACCACCCCGGTGTCACCTCCCCCGTGTCGCCCCCCCAGGCCGGTGTCCCCGCCCCGTGTCACCTTCGCAGAGCGGTGGCCGCGAGCCCTTGCGCCGGTAGCCCGGGTGGCACTCGCACTTGTAGTGGCCCGGCACGTTGGCGCAGGTGCCACCGTCCCCGCACACGTCACCCTTGGCGCACTCGTCGATGTCTGCGGGGACACGCGGGGTCGTTTGTCCTGTCACCAACCCTGTCCCCCTGTCCCCAACCGCGGGCGGTGTCCCCAAGACTGTCCTGCATCCCCAAACCTGTCCCATGTCCCCAAGCCTGTCTCCTGTCCCCAAACCCGGAAAGTGTCCCCAACCCTATCCCATGTCCCCAAGCCTGTCCCCAACCCTGTCCCCTGTCCCCCATCCCAGGCAGTGTCCCCAAGCCTGTCCCCAAACCCATCCCATGTCCCCAAACCCGGAAAGTGTCCCCAACCCTATCCCATGTCCCCAGCCCTGTCCCCACTCCCATCCACTGCCCCAACCTGCCATTCCGTGTCCCCACCCTGTGCCACGTCCCTTGTCCCTTGTCCCCACCCCCTCCCCGCGCTCCGTGTGTCCCCATGTCCCCCGTGTCCCCATGGTGTCCCCATCCCCGCCGTGGTGTCCCCGTGGTGTCCCCATGGTGTCCCCGTGGTGTCCCCGTGTCCCCATCCCTGCCATGGTGTCCCCGTGTCCCTGTGGTGTCCCCAAGGTGTCCCCATGGTATCCCCATGTCCCCGTGGTGTCCCCGTGTCCCCATGTCCCCGTGGTGTCCCCATCCCCATGGTGTCCCTGTGTCCCCATCCCTGCCATGGTGTCCCCATCCCCGTGGTGTCCCCATGGTGTCCCCATGGTATCCCCATGGCCCCGTGTCCCCGTGGTGTCCCCGTGTCCCCATCCCTGCCATGGTGTCCCCATCCCCGTGGTGTCCCCGTGTCCCCATGGTGTCCCCATGTCCCCGTGGTGTCCCCATCCCCGTGGTGTCCCCATGTCCCCAAGGTGTCCCCGTGTCCCCATGGTGTCCCCATCCCTGCCATGGTGTCCCCATCCCCGTGGTGTCCCCGTACCTGCGCAGGTGCGCAGTCCCTTGTGCAGGCGCAGCTGGAAGCCGCGGTGACAGTGACACGTGTAGGAGCCACCGGTGTTCATGCACACGCCGCGCCCGGCCCCGCACGGCTCCGCCTCGCACTCGTTCACGTCTGGGCAGGTGGCACACGTGTGGCACAGGTGTGTCACACACTTGTCACCGTGTGTGTGACCCTGTGACCCCCCCCCAGCCCCGCACGGCTCCGCCTCGCACTCGTTTCACGTCTGGGCAGGTGGCACAGCTGTGGCATGGGTGTGTCACCAGGTGTGTCACAAGTGTGTCACTGTGTCTGTGACCCTGTGACCCCCCTCCCCAGCCCCACAGTGGTTTATGTCTGGACAGGTAAGTCACAGGTGTGTCACCGTGTGTGTCACTGTGTGTGTGACCCTCTGACCCCCCTGGTGTCCATGGTTTTCCCCATGTCCCTATGTGTGTCCTCATGTCCCCATGTCTGTCCCCAGGTCCCCATGTCCCCATGTCCCCATGTCTGTCCCCATGTCCCTGTGTCTGTCCCCATGTCCCCATGTCTGTCCCC